AAAATTTGTCTTCATCCTGTTGGAAATTCTAGCAACGGATTTATCCCATTTTGGGCTATAAAATGGCACCCAAATCCTCTCTTTTAACACACAATTCTTCAACATTTCAATACTCTTTCATTGCATAAGCATTCCTATTTTTCTTAGCTATTTGAGAGCCAATTCTTGAAGAAATTGTCGTGTTCTTGAGCGTTTACTAGTTCACTCATATCTACTCTTTGTGAGAGTTTTATTCCTGAGTGTTTAAGTGTTTTCATACACTTTAAGGGAGTTTGTTCCCTTGTTGTAAACTCGAAGGAAGTTCCTTGTTCCTTCGTGAGAAGTCTTGGAGTGCGGTATCTCCGAGCAAAGGTGTTGAGGCTCATGTGACTCGGGTTCTCAAGTTGTATCGGTTTGTTAAGCACCCTTAAGCTTAACGGAGTTAGTGTAGCTCGAGAGAGTCTCTCGGGGGGCTGGATTAGCCACACGTTGTGGTGAACCAGGATAAAATCCGGTGTGCTCCTTCTTTACGCTCTTTACTTTAACGCTCTCGTTTTAATTTCCTGCGATTTTGTTTTAAACGCTATTCACCCCCCCTCTAGCGTTGGGCCTTTATTCTAACAATTTTGATGTGCCAAATAAGTCTTCCAATGCTACTAACATCATTTGCAGGATTAAACCAAACGCCAAACCTCTATTAGCTTGTTTAGCATCACCGAGATGTACTCCTACGAGCTTAGAAATATTTGTGTAAAGGTAACGATATATTATAATGACTTACTTAGGCCCTTTCACTCAAAAAGTATTTCTAAACTATCAAATATATTCTTAGTTGGGGTTATTTTGAAAACGGAACACAAAAACGAGTTTAGTAAAAATTGCACAAGTCTAACGGTACTTGGCTACCGTGTACACGGCACCAGGGTACCGCCGGTAGCCAAGTGAACGTACCGTTGTACGTTTCACCTGGGTGGTACACAGTACCCCCCCTACCGTGACAACGGTACCTGGGTACCGTCCGTAGGCTTGGGAAGGTTGGCCAGATCGTTTGAACCCAGATACCGCCAGAGCCGAACCAATTCTATGGCTTACACGGTACCCCCTAACAGTAGGCTGTACCGTTGTCACGGTACCTAGGTACCGGACGGTACGGACCCCTACCGTGAAGGGTACCGGATCCGTTACAGCACTATAGCAAATTGCCAATTTAAATTCAAATCACCCCTAATCACTTCCTAACGGTATTTAAGGTTAAAAATTCATATTTTAACATTCCAAACTCCTATATAAACCCCCTCTAAGTCTCATTTTACTCACAACAAGTTCCCAATTAATTCTAAAGCCTCTTTCTCTATTCTTGAGTGTTCTTAAAGCTTTGTTCTTATTTTTCTTACTTTTTTGAGTAAAAAACTTTCATCTTTTTATACACTCACACACAAGGGCATTTGTGCTTCATTATTTTATATCTTGCCTATAGGCTTTTGTTGTTGTTGATTTAATCTTTTGTTCTTCTCCTACCCAACTTACATTTGTTATCATTTTGGTAGAGAAGCAACACCAATCTTTTTATTGATTTGTAAAAGGTGTGGATAGCCTCTAAATCCTCATTATAAGGTTGAAGATAGCCTTAAAATCTTCGGTTGTAAACAGTTGAGATAGCCGTAGTAAAATCTCATTTGCTTATTGGCAAGGGTTGTTTGCCAAACCTCGTTTGAGTCTTCTTAGTAAAGCCAAACAAGTTAGTGGAGGTTAAATCCTTGAGGAGGAGCCTCGAGGTACTGGAGTAGGGAGTTCCCGAACCAGTATAAAATCGCCAGTGTCGTATTTTTATCCTTTATATCCTTCTTGCTCTTTTTCCGCTACTACTTTGCGCATAAGTTTTTGTCTTCTACGAAAAATTTGCAAACACCCTAATTCACCCCCTCTTAGGGTGTAAACCGACTTTCATTTGGGAGGGGTGAAGAAGTTGCATTTATCTAGATTCACCTTTTGACCTGAGAACCTTTAATATTTGCTTAAGAAGGTATGAAAGTGTTTTAGGTTAGGCCCTGAGCCATTAGTGAAAATGATAAAATCATCTGCAAAGGCTAGGTGGGAGATAGGATGGTAGTTCCTTCCCATGTTATAGCCAGTAATATACTTGGTTAGGACTAGATTGTTAAGAGTCATACTGAATCCTTCAGAAGCAATGATGAAAAGGAGGGGGATAGGGGATCCCCTTGTTTTAAGCCTCTGGAAGTCTTGAAAGCTTTGGTAGTTTTGCCATTTATGTTGAGAGAGAGGGTTGTAGTGACAAACAGATTGTGGATTAGGTGTGTAATTTGGTTTGAGAAACCAAATCTCCTCAAGATTTCCAACAGGTAGTCCCAAGAAACTCGATCAGAAGCTTTAGACATATCCAATTTAATTTCCAGATTACCCCCTCTGCATTTATGACCTAGACCATGAAACATTTCTTGGGCCATTAGGATCTGGTCCTGAATAAGCTTATCTTTCATGAAACCAGCTTGTTCAGGGCTTATGATGCTTGGGAGAATGGATGAAAGTCTAGTGGCCAAGATCTTTGAAATGGTTTTGGCAATGAAATTAGAAAGGCAAATAGGTCTGAAATTAGAGAAGGTAGAGGGATTTTTAGTTTTAGGGATTAGGATGATGGTGGATTGTGTTAGGCTTTTGGGATGGGGAATACCAAGGAAAAATTCATGGCAAGCTTTCCAAATGTCTTCTTTGATTATGTCCCAAGAGGTTCTGAAGAAATGGCCAGTGAAGCCATCAGGGCCTGGAGAGCTGTCAGGGCAGAGATCCCAAATGGCAGCTTTAACCTCTTCCATGGAAGGTAGGTTGCTAAGAAAATGGTTATCAGAAGGGTTGAGGGTGAGGGGAATGTTGTCAAGGACTTCAGGACAGAGATTAGAATTCTCATGATGGTAAAGGTTTTTGAAGAAAGAGGTGGCCTCTGATGCAATCTCCTCCTATTCAAGAAGTCATTTGTTGTCACTGTTTTTGATTTTTTGTATCTTTTGAAAGTTTCTCTTATTTTTGACAAATGCTTGAAAGAACATGGTATTTAGGTCCCCCTCCTTTACCCATTTCAGATTAGATTTTTGCTTCCAGTAGGAGTATTCTGTGGCTAGGCACTTGTTAAGTTCTGATTTGGCTTGCTGCATCCTGTGATTATTGTCCTGGCTAGGGTTGTCAGTGTAGGCATACTCAGCTTGTTTGAGGGTGTCTTCAAGCTTGGCTTTAGTCTTGAAAATGTTCCCAAAAGTATTTTTGTTCCAGTATTGTATGATCCTCCTCAGATGCCCCAGCTTATATAAATGCATAGACTCTAGGCACATGACACCTTACGGTGAGATGACATGTTCATGTTACGGTCAGATGATGCAAAGCTCACCACTAGCCACTGCAAAGCTCACCAAAGACAACTACAAAGCTCACCAAACTGTTAGGCTAAGCTCACCATATTTTTTCAACACTTTGATTTTTTTTGAAAAAATAAAATCAAAAGAAGGAGTGATGACTAGATTTTGACCATTGACCGTCGCCGGCCACCGCCTGCCGCCGCCGACCTCCGCAGCCGCCGACCTCCGTCGCCGGCCACTGGCCTCTACCGTCGACCTCCTCCGCCGGACGCCGCTACGCTACTTTCGTAGTATTTGAAACTGTTGGATGTTTGTTGCTCCATAAATCATGTTCTAAGATGATGAAATATTGTGAGGTATGTCTATATGTGATAATAAGTGGAACATGTAACCTGATTGAATTCGTTTGAGCATGGTCAACCCTTCATTTTAATGTTGTATTAAACACTTTCATCGCACTGAATTCGTTGATAGCTTATTACTTGATTTGTCCAATGCCTTTAAAACGATTTACTTCTTTGAGCCAACTACGTATTTTAGGTCTTGACATGATCTCTTATATTAATGTGTAAAGATTTTGCCATGTTTATACCTTCATCTATGTGTGCATATATGTTTGTAGGTTTTGTCATGTTTATACCTACATCAATGATTCTGTTTATCGTTATTTCGATCATGACTAATTCCTATTATACCTCCATGTTTATATATGTGCTAATTCAACCGTGGTTGTGCCCCATTTTTATATATCGTGTTTATGAAATTAGGCTATATTTTGGAGAAAGCTTTTAGTTGTTTGATTTAAGTTTTTGTGTTAGCCGAGTGGGAGCTGTTCCATAAAAAATAAAAAACAAATTTTTTTTATTTTCGTGAGGAGAGTCAAGAGCAGATATGCGATCAGGTATTTGTTCAAGTAGGGGAGAGGGGTATCAACCAACACAGCTTTATAAACCAATACTTAAATAATACTCTGAAGGGTATGGTTGGCATTTCGCCTCTTTTTTTAACCCGTGCAATTTTTTGAAGCCTTCCATGCACCTAATAATAATAATAATAATATTATTATTATTATTATTTTGCAGACCAAACTTTAAAAACAGTTCCTCCTAAAAGCTTTAAACATCAGTCCCAAAATGCTTAATTTTTTTCTTCTATAAGCCAACTTCTCATGTCCAAAAAGCTCTCCAATATATCTCTTTACCAAACACCTCTAATGCTTGTGATCTAGCCCAAAAGTCTCTTATTCCATATAGAGCTACCCAAAGATCTGATGGTCATGCACACCTAAAGGCTGAGAGTCATTTGAAGCTTACTATGTTTTTAGACTAGACATAACAATCGGCGGACATTCCATTTATAATATGCACAATCTCTACTATCTCATTCCAAACCTCCACTGTCTGCATTGTCTGTTTAACTGAATCTCAGGATTAAATAAGTTTGATTTTTTTGCACAGTCTGCACTATTTGTTCAACTAAACCTTGGAGTTAAATGAGTTTGATATTTTTTGCACTATCTGCACTCTATGTTGTATTGAGCAAATATAACATCGATCAATATAACAATGGTTCTTGCTTTTGGTGTATTTACAGATAATTATTTCACTGTGTCGGGTGGAGATACAACCAGATGTGTTTAACGAACTCTTGATAGACAAATTATATCTTTTCAAAGTTGAGGTTAGGCGTGCACACTTCAATGAGTTTGATCCCAAGGACATGAATTCTACTTCTTTCTCAGTCCTGGTTTGCTTACATACATAATAGAATATATATTTCGCTTTAGTTATACTTTTATTATGTGTAAATAACACATGAATTTTAAGTTGCTAATAATAGGCTGATTTATCAACCCTTTGATAATAGACTGATGTGATTTTGTGATTTTCACTTCGGGGAAAATTGTCACAGCATATCTTCTTTGTGGGCGATGCATCATCATGTGTAAAGGTTAAATGTCTTAAAATCTAAGTCACATATTGGCAACAACAGTTTTACTCTTGATGAAAGTTGCATTAACTTCTGGAGTTTTGTCTTGCAGGATTTGATTGAAGATTTTGTGGAATTAAAGAGTAATCAATTTGAACGAGATGGAGATGATATCACCAACTCTACTGTCAACAAAAGAATGAAAGAAGTGGAACATTGAGGTGGAGATAGAGATGAGTCGAGCAAGAAGATGAAGATTGTTCTAATAGAGAAAAATTAGAAATATAAATTTTATGTTAGCCTGAGAGTATTGTTTTTTGGATTGATTTATATGTCATGCAGTTTATAATTTATAATTTTTGGATTGTTTGTTGTTTAATTTTTAAAATACAAATTTTTTTGGTATTTGGTATTTTAAAGAAGATTGCATGTTTGAAGAATATATACTCAATTTAATATCCTTACTCATATAGTATACTTTTAGCATTTATATGCTTCATAACATAGATTAATGTTATTTTCTTAAATTTTCAATATCATTGTTTTCCGTTTTTTTAAATCAATTTCTAAAAAAGGTACTAATTATGATTTTTTTTCGTTTCTTTTCATTTATAAAAAAGGAAGTTGGATTTAATAATATGAATTAGGATTAAATAGTTTGAACATGAAAATTTTAAATAAGCTAATCCTACGTACTAAAATATTTTTTTATGTTTAGTATGTATGTTTTTAATATGTACGAAGTATTTTTTTTATGGTATCTACCATTTTTTTTGTAAAGATATTGAAAAAAAAGAACAGTAAGTAAATAAAAATTAAGAATAAGATGTTATACGTTTTCAAGACGTAAATTTATATCCTCCAGTTTTTCAAAAGATTTGGATTTAAAATTATACTTTTACATGTTCTTTTTGTTTTGTATATATATGAATATGAATTTTGGATATCACATATTTATGGTAAATTGCCTATTAAATTTTATAGTTCAATATTATAATTTACTTTATTTATTTTCATTGACTAAGAAGAAAAAATTAAGTGGGTAAAAAAACAAATCGTTTCACCCCGGGTTAAATACTAGTCCTTTATATATATAAAGCAGAGTCGGAGCTATAAGAACGTGACATTTGGCAGAGCTAAAACACGACATGTGGCGAGCTGATGTGGTGACATTTGGCAAAGTTAAAGCGCGACATGTGGCGAGCTAATATGTCACCCTTTTAGACAAACCGATCGGTTTGACCGGTTAGACCAATTCCTTTTTTGCAATTTTTTCCAAAAGCATACCACCATAGGGTTTGAAACAAGGATCTCTTGGTCATTTCGTTGACTTGCTAACCATCCAAGCTAGGGTGCTTTTTGTTACAATCTCACTTAAGCTTTTATAATGTTTCATAATTAAAAAAGGATTGTATAAAAATTGCTTTTTAGTTATAAAAAAATATAATCTTTTAATATAATATTTAAGACTCTGTTTGCTAAAAAGTAGCCAAAAGACAAGCTTATGTGGGTTATATTAAGGTGAGATGACAAGTCTTTATTGGTTGCTTATGTGGCAAATTTTATTAATGATGAATTGACCTTTCTTTTTATTTTAAAATAGAAATTTAATAATGATTTTAAATTTTGGAAAAATTTTACGTTAAAAGATTTAGTAGAAATAAAGAATTCACTACTTCGTGACATTAGTTGAGTATTTATATTTTTATTTTTAAAAAGCAATTCATCTATTTATTTGTTATGATGTGATAAAATTAATTATGTTATAAAATCAAATTTGTGAAAGATAAATGTAGTATTGTCCGAAATAAAATTTTTAAAGGAAAAAAATTATATAAAATATAATTTTATGATAAAAATTATTATGATGTAGCAAACAATTAGTGAAAATATAAAATTGGTATTATCACTTACCATTTCAAGACTAGCATTTTTTATGAATCAAATTTTTAACTAAGTGCATACACAAAAAACAAAATTTTGATAATGATATATTCTCATTTAAGAGTATTCTTA